TATATTAATTTATCATGGATCAAAATTTTAAATCAAAAATTAAAATGTTATTTCTTTTCTTCTGTTCAACTTTTCACTGTCATCATCTTTTATGTCAAATTGAACCCCGCTAAAATCGACATTATTAACTATATCCGGAAATGGTAATTATGTTTCTGATAATAATTAACTATGTATATAACTTATGATAATAGTTAATTATTTATGTTATTTTCTCATTATAATAAATAATTATATTTATGATAATAGTTAACAATGTATGTTATGAACGTAGTCAACTTTGTTTGTTTAAATAAATAATTATTATCAATATTTTCATGTAGTCAACTGTGTCATAAAATTAGTAGAGTAGATAACTACGCTATGAAAATAGTTAACCATATTTTAAATTGAAAACTATTTTCTGAATATAGTTAAATTATAAACTTGTAACTATTTTCTGAAAATAGTTAACTATATTCACAAATCAATTGAATAAACAGTTTTGAAAATAGTGTTATAACATATATACTATATATTATTTTTGACATCTTCTCACTAAATTTTTTTCAAAATAATAGTGGGAAGCGCATATCTATTTTATGTATAGATACAAGCATATCAACAATTTTTTTAGATGAAACTAATGGAAAAATTTTAGAGATTTTTTCTTTTATATTTATTTTAATTACAATTGTAAAGATAATCTCGTCATATTTTTGTTTTTCTCTACTACTTAGCTAAATATAGTTTTGAACATGTTACTTATCTAATTTTTACCCCCCAAAATAATATTCTCCTAATTAACCCAATTTTTAACTAGTTATTAAATGAATTTTTAACTAATTATTTTAAAATTTTAACTTTTTCATTTATTCAAAATAATATTTTAAATTCCGCCAAATCTATCTATTTTACTTAAATCATCAATTAATTCTTCAAAATTTACAATACATCATCATTAAATTTCACTAAATTATACATTTATCCATATTGAACCACTAACATTGCATGAAAAAATGGTTGTTTTTGATTTTTTTCAACAATAGATTGGATGTTCATAGCTATAAAACTCACATGCAAATGAAAAAGCTTCAAAAGACAATATTATTAAACGATACCCACGTGGGCACCACACA